CGCCTTCAAAAGAAGATTTTTCAAAACTTGACCCGGTTAAGCCCTTTCAAATGATTTCATCTACTTTTTGTCAAAATTTGAACGTTGTTGCCAAAAAAACAAGCAAAACGTGAAGAAAAAGTTCATTCATTTTTTGTTAAATTCAAAAAAACTAAAACTTAAATCCTGTGGCTGTATCTTGCAATTTCACTAAGCATTTTCTGGTAAGTAGTGTTCCTAGCGGAAAACAAAAAGAACCATGTGAACAAAATTGTTTGTCTGTAAAATCTTACAAGAATCTTATTAAACTTTAAATTGCTCTTCAGTCAGATTTTCTAGTCAACGGAGAAAAGTTGGGTTGAGAATCCAAAAAGGATTCTGCAAAAGAATGCAGTTTTTTGTCAGAATCTTTCGAGAATCTTACAAAATCTTACAAGACTGGCCATTTTTGTCAAATAGGGATGTCAGTTTTAATACTTGTTTTCATTGAGAGCAGATAACAAACTCAGAGCATTCATAAGTTTAAATCTCACCAGCATTCCGATAATACACTTTTAGGCAATTTATGTAATTGCTTCTTCGGGCTTACAATATTAAAACACCGTTTTTTTGCAAAATTTTTTTAAAGAAGAAATTGCTCCTGGTTAATCAGTTTGAACAATTTTAAAAAAGTGAGAATAAAAGGAATAAAAGACGTTAGGAAGAACTGGTGTTGAGTTGTTTCTCTTTAACCAAGAATTGCTGTTTTAGCATCATTGTCTTTTTGATGTGTATAGTGTAAGCTTAGCAATTAATCTTTTAGAGATCTTGTTCGGTTAAACCGTTTGTTCAATTGAAGTATTTATTCAGGTCATCAGGTGTGGGTAGGAACATACGTCGGGAAAGGTTGTTTTTTAAACAAAACAGACATCAGCATTAAAAATCACGTGTGGTCGACTGATGTGTAAATAAAATAACTTTGAACTTTGAATCGGCTCCCTCAAACGTCCTTAATTTTTCCCGGTCTCGGGAACACGGATTGTATTTACTCAAAACAGCTGAATAATTAATTATAATTATCTTTAAAAAAATTTTAGGAAACTTTGCCACAATTATGCGGCTGTTATTCAGTTTGCAGGTTTCTTCAGTTAAATATTAATAAGCAAGAAAATTATTTTTAGAGGAGATGAAATTGAAAAAAAATCAGTTTAGCTCTGTTTATCAAAGTCACATCATTGTCTGATATTTTCAAAATCCCACACTGTGGAAGTATCCATTGACTACCTTTGTTTTCATCTGTCGTTCTTTTGAATTATCATAAAGTAGGTACTTTGAATTTTGTTTTAAAATTCGTGTGAAGGCCTTTCGGTCTGAAACAAATTCAATTGATAGCGTTTTGTTTATCAACCAATTGCGTAATTGGTAAAATACTGGCAACTGTGAGATAGGATTAAGAAATGATGTCAGACAATTGTGTTTTATGGTATCTGCTAAAATGGACTGAAAATGGTTACCTTCCTGAAACCTGTCGCTTTTTACTAGTTTTGAGTTGGCGTATCGAACGTGGTACGTCTTCATGTATTTGTTGCGACATTAAAAATGGGGAACTTTGTTTTCGGGGGTGTTTTTTTTTCTTCTTTATTTGAAGCCATTGTTTGATTTGCCTTTTTTACTGTGACTATCGAATATATTTAACTTCTATGTTTTCTTTCGTCAGATCCTTTTTATCACACGACGTACAAAAAAAGCAACACTAGTTTGAAAAAAAAAGGAAAATTGTTGTATGTGTTTATATTAGTATGGTCGTCACAGTCTGTGCTTGACAAACAACTGGCTATCCTTGTTTAGTTTTTGCTTTTTCATTGTCCATGAAGCACTTATAGTTCTGATGTTCTGAGCGACCATATCTAGAAATCGAAACTTGTTTCCACTGTTAGCGTTGTCAAGTAACTTGAGTGTTGCAAACTTTAAATAAAAACCTATAGCTCGCGTAAGTACAACTCACGCAAATTTTCGTTCACATTTCGGCCGAAAAGTTGAAGTAAGATTCCTTGACTTGATTTTTCTATTCTTTTTAAAGCTGACTCAATTTATTTAAAGGAATAATCTGTAGGCTCTTATCATATTGTTTAATGTCTGTTTCGACATAGTTTTGTTCACTATATCCTTATGTTTTCTAGGCCGGCAATATGTTTTTTTTTCTGTTACGTCAATAGCATCTGATTGACCCGGTTAAGGACTAAATTTAATTTTTTTTCTGACGTGAATTAATAAAGAACACAGCCTACTCAGCATTTTGAGCTCAAAAAACACGAGACCAATCCGCATTTTTTTGAAATATTGCCGTAACATTTTCACTTCTATTACCTTATTGAAATCTTTACACATTATCTAATTACACAAGTTCTTCAGTAGGTATAGGGTTTAACGACCACCAGCTCCCTAAATTGCCAAAATCGGCCATCGAAATTTTGTATAAGAATGTATGATAAAAGCGTATTTTGCAATAAATCTAATTTTATTGGATCAACTTGACCGAAGAAGAATAAGCTGAAAAATTTGCAAAAAAATTTATATGTTTTTACCGAGCTTGACAAACAAACCAAATCGACTACCTCGAAACAAGCGAGCTAGTTTTCGCCCCACATATTAGATTTGATGTCTTTGATTGATTTTTTAAAAAATGTTTCAACGACTGTTTGCAATCAAGCAAACCATATTTTCAAATTATAGACAAAAATTTAGCTTCACAGACCTCTCGTCCAAAAACTGAAAAAAGTGTGGTCAAACATCTATCTATTGATTCCTATGATAATTGTCTTTTCGTAAATTTTTCATTTACAGCTTGCAAAATTTTATGCACGTTTCAACTAAAAAGTTATTTTAAGTGTTTTGTTTTTTTTTGTAATTATTGTGGTCAACAAAAAATCGATTTTGTTTCAAGGCAAAAAATGAACTTCATACAGTTTCAGCGTTTCAAAAATCTGCTAGCAAAAAAAACTTAGATTGAGAACAATGAAAAAGTTTTGTCTTCAACCTAATCCAGATTTGATCTTTCAAATGAAAGAAAAAACAATACAAATTCGCCACATTTTGTAATCTGTGAAAAACATAGCTAAAAGTATTACAAAAACTGGTAACTAGAACAAATCTTAAAACTTTTTGAGGTAATTACTTATATTTTGTAAAGAAAAATAATGCTAATAATGCATCTCATCTTGAAAAATTTCTGATAGTTCCATCGATAAATTTACTACCTCGAATGTTGTTTAAGCTCTCATCACATGTTTCAATAACTGGAGAAAGTTACAGTGATATAACTTTAATCAGGGAAAAATAAAAATCATACAGCTAACTTCCATTTGCGGAAAACTTTCACGCTCTTTCATTAAGTTTCTTTTTCTATGGAATAGTATCACATTGTATAAAAACTGGTTTCGTTTTGGCTGTTCAAAACAGTATGAACTAATTAAAATGTCAAAATTTGTCATATCTAAAGATTTTTTGAACAAAAAAAATGAGCTTACGGAACTGTGAGGCCATCGCAAAAAATCTATGAAACAAATTGCAAATTTAAAAAATTTTTACTTTGAATAATATGTTTCTATGAAGATAATAATTGTCATATGTTTATTTCTTTTTTTCTTTTGCATGTTTTAACCAGTGCTTTAGAAGAAACGCCTTTCGAGTTTTTGTTTTGCTAACTCAAGTTTTGCAAATTTTTTATCTGGTCTAAAGCACAAAAAACGTGTCAGCAAACTATTCTGCAAATAGACACTTCAGTTTTTTGAAACACAAAAGCAAAAGTTTTTCCTTAAGACAAGTTGAAATCAAAATTCTATTTAAAAATTGAAAAAAAATTTCATTCCAAAAAATTCTCTCAAATTATTGCAACAATTTTCAGCTAGTTCAAGAGTGAGACATTTCAAAATTCTTTTATAAAAACCCGGGTTTTGATTTTTCTCCGATTTCAAAAAAAATGACGGAGTGCTTTTGATAATAACTGCTTAGACTAATTTATGCTATTTAAAAAGTGAAGGGAATAAAGATGATTTTAAAAAAAAACTTGATATTGCAGTTTGCAAATGCACGTAAATAATCAAGTTTTGGAAAAAAACGCTTATAGGTGCGGTAAAAGGTAATCTAATGACGCCAATCTTCTCAGTGTTTCAACTAACAGACCACATAAAGAGCCCCTATCGGTACTTTTTCAGTAAAATTTTTAGTCCTTGAGACTTAAATTTTCCTTTGGCGCCCTTGCGTTCTGATTTTATAAATTTAGAGACCAGACCTGAAAAAATGCAATTTTCAATTCAAAACAATCAAAAATTTGCTTCAATATTTTTTTAAACTGTGTTTTTGAAAATTTATCTACGGCAATCACAAATTCGTCAAAATAGGGTGTTTAATTACTTTGGAGAGCAACAAAAATCAAATTAAACGACCTAAAAAAGGATCGAGACAAAAAACTCAGTATTTTTTTTTCAAAAATCTGCTCTACCCTGAGAAAATTATCGATCATCCTGTACCTATAAGAGTGCTTTTGATCAAACTTCAAATGCTTCAACCTATTAAAAAGTTTTCATTCAGACCATGAAAACAAATTTTAGCAGCATATTTCGGTAGCATATGAAAATCTCGGTAGCGTATTTACGATTGATTTTTGGTGTGCCCTCTTGGGCAACGCAATTAGCAATATTTGGCTCTTTGTGCTAAGGAAAACCTCTTAAAATGTTTATTATATACATATTACAGTACTTGCGTTAAGTTTTACTTAATCTAACTCGTTTTTCAGTTCGATTGGTACATTGTTATGATTAACTTTAACTTATTAAACACAATTACTTAGCAATCTATGAGCAATTACCTAAAACTGAAGTTTTGTTCTACATTTTAACGTTTTCGCTGACTGTAACTGACCTAACACTGAAACAATTTTTTCAAACAAGCTATAGAAAAAACCCATCTAAAAAACTTTCAGCAAAAACAGCGGTCAATACAATAAAAATTTTGACCTAATTAAACCAGTCTTTTTTGTTTAGTTAATCATGGCAGACGAAAAGGAGATTACAATAACTCACAACGGTGAAAACGACGTTTTTTATATTAAAGATGTCAATCTTGACAGATTGAAAGAATATTTTGGTTTTGAAGTTAAATCGTTGAAAAACTGTGCGGACAATCGGGTCGTCTTCATCACAAGTGGTCACCCCAACGTAACTGCAGGAGCTACGTATAAAATAGCATCAACGACCCAATCAAACGCAACACCAGATTATGATGAAGATCAAGCTGAAACCGAAAATTTTGACAAAAAATGGCTAGATGAAAACCAAAAAACAGTCCAGAATGCTCTGATTGCAAGCCTTGCATCGTATGAAACCGATGCTCAGAAATATCTCAATAGCCGGCTAAACGACCATAATTTGAAGTCAGTCGTTCAAAGCGTTAATGGCGATTGCTCTTTCATAATCGCTGAAAGCGATGACAAAAAAACGGTGTACGTGGCGTTCAAAGAAACCAATTGCTGGAAAGATCTTATTAAAGATTTTCACATCCACAGTAAACAAACTCAGTGTGCCTCATCAAGAGGCAGATTTAATTCGGGGTTTTTGAAATGCGCGGACGCGTTTCCTTTGATGACAGTCAGTGAGTTTCTGGTAGAAAAAAATGTTGTCGTTTGCGGACATTCACTTGGCGGAGCTATATCTTCTATAGTTTTTTGTCATCTTCTTTCTAGAGAACCATTCAGAAAATTGGAAATAAGCGCTGGTATATTAAATATCACCTTCGGCTCACCTCTGTTCGCAGATTTGGAGTTCAGAAAAATCTTAAACAAAGAAATCGAACAAATGACTCCGCGACCACAAATGTATCACTTTGTTTCAAAATACGACCCAGTTCCCAGGTTACTTTGCCTTGCTCTAAGCGTTCCTCTTTTGAAAGAAAAGTTTTATGAGCCTTTGAAAGAGATGACAGCAAGTGAAAACTGTTCCGGATTGAAAAAAACTCTAGCCCCAATTATAAACGTTGATCTGGACTCTGATAAGACTCGTTCCGCCAAAGAACTCAAAAATCTTCTGGAAACAGACATCGAGGTTTTGAGAAAGATGTACGTTCCAATCGGAAATTACATTCTGTTAAATCACGAAGAGTCGCCTGTTTTAATTCCTTCATCGAAGTCGGACGATGTGTTGCCTTACCTTGAAATTTTCTCAACAGAGTCGCCTGTTTTAATTCCTTCATCGAAGTCGGACGATGTGTTGCCTTACCTTGAAATTTTCTCAACAGTTGAACTCGAAAAAATAGAAGGTCACATGCTGAAACTGTATGAAAAAGATTGCAAGCTGAACAATTATGCACTTTTGGGCGATGATGGAGATTCGAGATCCGAAACCCAAAAACTAGAAAATTTTGTACCAAAAATTTCAGAAGGTGAGCTGGTTTGCGAGAATTACGACAACGAAAAGCATCTGAAGTTGAATTTGAAAGGATCAAATATCGCCAGTATTTGTCTGGAGAATTGTGAATTCAATTTTGGGTTTCCTTATCAACCATATGTCTACAAACCAGGCGATGATGAAACTATTTTGTGTCAAGTGGACCAGCTTCCTCCAAATGCCCCCGAAGAAGAAGCTCCCTACAAAAAAGTAAAGAAGGAGCCAAAATTTCACATTAAAATTGCAACCGTTTTTGGTTTTTGTGACTATACTTGGCCAACAAACGAAATCAAAAATATTGATGTACAGACTATCATGAAGTTTTCAAAAGAAGCTACTCCAAAGCAAATTTTGATGAAAGCGCTTCAAAGAGGCGTGGCGTTGTCAGATATGTCAGACGAACCTGCTCTGGAGAATCTTCTTATTAAAAGCATTCAAATTCTCTCAAAACTTACACTAGACGAAACAGAATGCGGACAACTGTTAGATATTTTCAAAAAACCAAACAAAGAATTGCAAAACTACTTGAGCACTGAGACTAAGCATCAGGAACTTCAGCGTATTCTAGATAAAATGACACAAAAATTGCAGAGTGGCTTGCGGCTAGAAGCGCCGCGACCAGTTTTGCAGACATTGGTAATCGCTGTGCTGGCTGTCGGGGGCGGACTTGCAGGAGCTTATATTGCTGGTCCGGGCTTGCTTGTTCTCGAAGCCGCGGATTCTGTTTTATTTGGGGGATTTTTAGGATCGGCTGGTGGTGTATTTGGTGGTTTTGGCCTATCGCAACTCCTGAAAAAGGATATGGGTAATAGTAATTATGACATATGCCTTGAATTTATTGTAAATGAAATATTCCAAGCATGGTCAAAACAAAACCAATCGCCTGACAAACTTCACGAAGTAACTGCCTTTAAAAACAGAGGTGGTCTGTACAACCTCGAGAAAGCCCTTTTTCTAATGTTCGATCCAGAATTTGGAAACGAAATTTTCAAAGACTGTTCACTCAAAGACGTGGATGACTCATGCAAAGACGAGCTTATTAAACGAATAAAGTGCATCATTCAAATGCATAAATTGCGCGGAGCCTTAGCAACACAGTGTTTCATTGGAGTAATAGGCCCTCAAGATGCTGGAAAGTCTACATTTCTGAACAAAATGTGGAATTGTGGGGCTGAAACCGGACTACTTCACCATACGGATAAAACCACACTCTACGATATCAACGAAAAAATCAAAGTGGTTGATTTTCCAGGGCAGAATAGTTTCCAAGAGCACTCAAAAGCGTTCAGTATCTGTGGGTCTATGAATAATGTCACTGTCGTCATTCTTCCATTTGCGGGTGACGTTAGTCAATTGGTGAGCGACGAGTTGATAAAAGTGTACCAAGCACTGGCCGATTCTTCCGACTTTCGAGTGATCGTGTGTATCAACAAATGTGGAAATATGCTTAAGGACCTGGTAAAAGAAGAGATGAAGCTAAAACAGAAACGAAAGGATATAACCAACCCACTCAAAGTTCTCAAAGATAATTATCTTCTCGAGCTAAACAAACATTTTGAGTCAGCAGGAAAATCGGAACGAAATACGTTTGAAAATGCAAATGTATTCTTCACGGACTGGGAGTTAGAGGACCAGGATAGTCGAAACAGATTCGGAATTGTAGGGATCGAGGAAATCAAAGAGGCACTGAAAGAGAACCTGATCGACTTGGGGGCTATCAAGTCAACGAACAGAGAAGGGTTGGAAGCTGCATTCAAGAAGTTGAATGACGAGTCATGATGGTCTAAATTATAGAAAATGAAATACTAAAAAGAGTTGCGACCACAAAAGTTATAAATCTACATATTCAACATTTGAATTGTTTCTTATTGGTTAAAGAATATTCATAAAAATGATGAGTATAAATTTTTAGCTATAAAGTGCATTGCAAAGCTTAAGGTAGTGACTCTATGAAATTAAAAACAATTTTCATATTGCATAAACAAAAACGTATTTTATAGTAAAATTCATCTCTTTATACTTGTAAATCTGCCAGATCTGAAAATTGTTATTGCTTCTAAATGTAATTTTTTTAATTGTTCAAACATTAAAAAAACTGCTTAAGAATATTTACTTCTAAATTATATCAATAACTAGCTCATTCACCCATAGTTATTTTATTCAATGTTCAAACCATCCTGCTCTCCCCCTCGAGGAAATCAAAAATTGTATTGACAACAAATTTTTACCCTGCTTTTTTTCAAAGAAGGGGGAAAGTGGACTTAATTGGAAAGAGGTGCACAAGCTTTTATCTTTCTATCATCAAATTAACTGCTAACTGTATACTGCGTATTATTTGAATCAGAAATTAAAGTATCCACTAAAAATATTTTCTATAGATATTCTCTATGAGGTCAAGCAATATGATATCAGTTGCTCAAGTACTTAGAAACACAACCTCATAATGGAATTGATCACACCAGTCGAAATTGAGATCATAGAGACACTAGCTTAAAAAATCATGGCCCAAATTCTAATGACATTTCTTAATGGCCCAAATTATGCCCCCTTAAAAATGGCCCAACTTAATGCCCTTTATTAAGGCCCATTTTAGTGGTTCCAAAAATGTGCATCATTGTGTTACGGCTTAGACAATTGTGTCGAACCTTTACAAAATGTGTTTGTGTTTTGTTAGTTGAAAGCAAGTCACACTGTATCATGGTCGGGACTGTATACCACATATGATAGTTTTGCATCTGAAATCGGTTGTATGGTTATAATAATGTCAAGCTACATTTATTTCAAACAACTATTTTATATCTATTCAATTTTTTGTTGAAATTTGTGAAATTCTAGCAAGTTAAGCTTAGTTAGTTAATATAGGTTGACATTCCAAAGGACGCGGCCATCATTTTTGACCCTCCAAGAGCCAAATGAAGTTTTAGAAGTCCCTGTTTTGTGGCCTAGAGCCATTTCCAAATTCACCAGATTGGCCAATTATTTCTAGCAGTTATTTTAAGGGAACACTGCGATACCAGAAATTTTTTTATCGGACCCAGCTGAAGTATTAGTTGACCCATCCCCTAGACCGGAAAATTGCAGAAGCAAAATCTACCGACGAAATTGGTCAGAGGCATGCGAGGGACCAAGCAGAAGCCAGTTAAGTAGCCGAAGCAATCGCAGAAAGAGAAAAAGGTAAAAAAAAATCGGACAACACCAGCAGGCAGACCAAGTGCCTAAGAGCTTCAGAGCTTTGCTCATACTTTTTGATTTCAAGGATTTTGATTTCAAGGATTTTTTATGCACAATGTGAAGGGTTAATTAATAAAGAGAAAATTTTCATAGAAGACAACTTTTCGTCTATTGGATGCTGGGGCTCATCACGGAAAGCAATGCGTATAAGATGCTCATTGCAGCTCACAATCGCGATCAAGAGGAGGTAAACTAAGGCAGAATTGGGCGGATATCTCGTGCCCTGAGGCAATTCTACGAGTTCGCCGACATCTTCATCGACGTACTTTATCTATAGGTCTCGAACTTCACACGGCAGCTAAAGTTGAAATCGTCCATCAACGGTGTCCACCCAGCTTTGAGCAGCTTTTCAGCGGAAATATGGTTCAGAAACATAGAAATCAATAATGTAACTTCAATAAATGATTCGACGATTACACTTAAAGATCTTAAAAGTGTGAAAGAATCCATGAAACTTTTAGAGGCGCCTCACCTGCAAAAAGGAAAAGAGCCATTCGTGAAGCACGACTAGAGAAGGTAGGAGAAAATTTCAAGAGCGGACACCTCCACTGATCAATTGAAGTTGAGAGTTGATGCGGGATCATCTGGAGCAAGGGGAAAGACAGCAAATGTAAGTGGGAACAATCCTTGCACTCCTTTTAACCTTTTGGAGAGATAATGCGGAAGACAATCTGAGAACTCGCTTGCAATAATAAAGTACCTGAGTCTCTAATGGGACGAACAACATATCTAGAGAGGACTGATGAGTGACAATGAATTGTGTTGTTGAGGGGGGGGGGACAGACACGACAAGCTAATTGAAAAATTTTTCTCACAGTTGCAATCCAGAATGGGAGAGGAGAGGAAGGATCGATCGGGGCTGAGCCGAAGTTTTGGAATCTCATTCCTCTTGATAAACGAACAGGCCAAGTCTTGGACATCTCAGCGTGGAAAGAGACCGTCAATTTGTTAGAAAAGGAACTGAAAGTAATTCTAGAGAATGACTTAGTGGCCACAAAGTTGCCGGAGTTCTCGATCATTCGGATGATGATAAGAGGAGTGACGAGTCCCTTGCTGGTATCTTTCATTGAAGCGAGAGCCCTCGTGGAACAACAGCAGAGAGAATTCACGCAGGGATGGGATCTATTTTTGATGGTACTCAGCAGCTGCCAGTTTTCCGGATGCAGCAAAAAATGCTCGAGGATCTTGCCACCACGGTGCAGAATGATTATAATTGTAGTTCCTTATCCTTATCTTATCTTATCTTATCCTTAACTTATCAGTAGGCCTTAACAGTCCTGTCGAGGATAGTCCGTTTGTATTATTTCCCCACATTCCAGACTGTGTTATTTTGCTGAGCGAAGCTCTTTTTTTGCGACTCAAGGCCGTTTTTGTGCGTCTAAAACTTTCACGTGGTACCACTTTTGCAGCCAAATTTGGTCAGGTTGTGGTAGACCTGAAGCTAGAGGTCAAGTGAGAGCTCGTCCTCACACACTATCATTGCCATGGCATGGGATCGATTACACGATCTGACGATTCTAAAGTGAACGCCTTACCACTATGCTAAGTGCCCCAAGATAAGTTTAGAAGAGTTAGAAGAGGTCTTGAAGAAAGAGGTCTTAGACTTGGTTATAAAAATCCTGAGCATCGAGAGGGGAAATCCTTCCTGAGTGTCGAGGGGGCAAGAAAACCTTGAAAAGAGAACGCCCTGATGCGGCGATCGAAAAACAATTGGGAAATCCACCAAATGGTTTTGAGCAGATGGATAATGAAAACGCTGCCAATTCTGGAACAGTACCCAAGGGAAGTTGGGAGCCCTACGCTCCCTGGAAAAGAAGGGAGTGGTTTGACTTCTTGAGTGGCGATGAGTGAGCTAATACTTCCGCATTTCCTCTGAAATTGCCTTGGAAGATTCTAAATTTACGATGGGGTGATCACCATACGGTTTGGAAGACAACACTCTTGAGATATATCCCAAGACAAATTCATGCCTAAGATGCCAACAAATCCGCGTTTTTGAGCAACCTGGCAATATGTAACTATGGACAGCATTTCTATTGCAGTTCAACCCATAGATGTAGAGGTAGGTAAACGGTGTAGAAATTCAAAGATGAGTTAAGGGACAACGTGATTAATTATGGAGAACCTGTCCTGATTGCGACGGGTCTGGATCAAGTAGTTCGACATAAAAGCATGATATAATCTACAGCCTGATATAATCTACAGAGAAAAGACCGGCGATAATGCCCAAATGATGTCAAGACAATTATATTTTGAAGATTGATTATAAAACTAGTATTGTTAGAGCCAAATCTATTAGTTTGGTTAAAAAAGACTATTTTTACCTACATCTTTTTCATGGAGGAGACTAGAGTACCTTGAGAAAGGGTACGGGTGTGCAAGAGTTGACGAAAAAAATTTTCTAAAGGGAAGCGTAATCGGTGGTTGCTGAATAAACACCTCTAGCCACGGAGCCGATGTCTAGGAAGAGGAAACGACAAGTGGAGGAGCACCGTCCATCTGGAGAGGCGATATCGTAAGTAATCTTGAAAGAAACACTGCTAATGGTGTTAGCTAGAAGAGAGACTTCAAAATACAGAGACAATTCGGGTTTCGGGAAACTGAAAGTTATGGAAGCGGAGCTTGAGGACACGTCAGATCGAGAACCGATGCCGAAACAGGACTTCGAGTCACAGCGAGTGAAACTAAAGAGGAGCTCCACCAGTGGTTACAGTAGGAAGTCGACGTTAGGAAAGAATGGGTATCAAGTCACTATTTTTTCATTGACGAACAAGTAACTGAAGATGGACTTGAAAAAAACCTCACTACGAACACTGCCAATTCATGATAGATCGCCTTGGTCACTTCAAAAGAACTGGAGAGTTGCTTCAAAAACAAAGACAGGGGTGTGGCGAAAAAAAAGAGGGAGTTGGGCCACACAACAGAAGGCCGACAGCATTAGTCTACAGCGAAGGAATCATTTGGACAAGACTTTGGAAAAGTATTACTAGAGTACTTGGAAATCGAGATGAAAACCCGTACGTCGGCAAAAATCTAATGGCAAGCCCATTTGTTAGATTAGGGGGTAAACTATTATTTGCGTGGTGTTTGATTATGTTGATTTCGGAAGAGGGGAAGAATGAGAATCTAAAAATTTACGATATGTTAGTGCAACATCTGGTTCACATTTATAATGGAATAATAATAGCCGGGAGAAAAACTCAACTTGTTTCTTGAAATGGATCACGTCCTTGATACCAGACGCAGTACGTTTCGCCTGTCATCAGGACGCAACAAGCTGGCCGGCCACGGAAATTTGAGACCCAAGCAGTAATCGATTTCATTCTCGACTTTTTGTGATAGAAAAAAAGAAATTCAACAGACTCGCATGCTTGTTCTCAAGCCGCTAGGTAAATTGGATTGAAGTAGCCTGACAAATTTTTAATGGCTAGCTGGAAGCTTGGAGTTTAATCTGTAAAACTTAGAAGTCCAATGAGTTTAAAGAACATCTAAAATCCAGTCAAAAGTCAAACCAGTGAAAAAAAGTTGAAGTAATCAAACGTTTTTGGTCTGAATGAAATAGGAATAAAGTCTTAGAGAGAAATCAAAGATCCCGGGTTGACCTCCATACACTGAAACTGCTTATCATACAATTCCATACATCAAGTGTGTGGGAAAATGCTTGTCTAAAATACAATTTCTAAAAGTGGTTGAAAACTGGTATAAAATCTTTTCTGTGGCTGTTTGATTCTAATAAAACAATCTGGTGATAAAAAACTGAGGTTTTCGTTT